CTGTCAGTTTTATCTCAGCATACGCACTGCACATATGCTCATAACCGAACTATTCTTTTGACATAACGTCAATCTTGACACACACTTAGAATATCAACGCCCAAAGTGTCTAGGTTCGCGCAAAGTCCAAATGACATCTTTATCGCTCCTGGCTCAAGTTTGGAACAGGTTCACGTCGACTTAGTGGGACCTTTGCACATATGCAAAAGTTTAGTGCACCTCTCAATCACGTTGAGTAGAAACGCTCTCTATAGCCGGTTGCTCATTTGAGACAGTTACACCAGCTATTTTAGAATGTTGAGAAACCTAATGTGGTTGCATTACTATGGTCACTACTAATTGAGAATTACACCTTGAGGGACTCTTCAATAAAATGCTTAACCTACTTGGTTGTAAAGATAACCGTACTACCACATGCCACCCAGCAGCTAGCGAGATTGTAGGAAGGTTTCATTTTCAACCTAAGACAGCACTTTTTACATAATCTAACGGATCAAGCAACGTAGAAACTTCAAAGTTTCTCGTAAGTAGTAGGAACAAGATTAAATTGGAGTTGTGCGTCACTTCACCCTCCATAGTACTTGGCTGCCCATAACGCTTGCTTTGTGAATTTGTCTCGCTATGAGCCCTAACGAATTGTGACTATGGCGACCACGCACCTCGCCTAGGTCAACAAATGCGACGGTTTCAGTCTATGCAACTTTAGAGAGCAGAGCTTGCGTGCAAACTTTGACAAACGAATTGCTACTTTCAGGCGCGTGCTCGCTCTAACGCAAATGGAACACCGACCCTTTAACTTCTCTCTTCTGACCCCTACCAAATCGTTCACCGAACCAAAGAAACATTGGTCAAGACTGCCGTGATAAAACTGAGACGATAAATATCGACGGACACAAACCAGTCATCCCTAAACACGCTGACTCCTTGTTGCAACAAGCACCGACTCAATCTGGGCAATCGGATCTTGATCCACAACTATGGATCAGTCATGCCGCTCTAGCAGAACCTACAGTCACAACCGCCTCATCTCTGCTCGACCCGCCGTCAACAGAATAAGAAGATCAATCCCGTGTCCGTTCCTCAAAATTTGCTAGTGTTTGTCTTTTACCGTAGTGCGTGTGTAGCATTTTTCGTGTCTCATTTTCGTGCAAATAAAAACGTTTTAACCTAACAAATGTGAACCTCAGCTTGGAAGAGATTACAAGGAGCAATATACACTTTTCACTGAACACCCTCTTATGTATATCCGCGCATTTACACAGTTTTTTCTCTGTACATCTCATCCGTTTGTTGCCCCTTAGTTGTATGTTTTTCTGGGCCACTGCACATTCCTCTAGGCAAAACCAAGTTCCCGCTAAGTCATTTAATGAGCCTTTACCAACTGTCCCTTCACAAACATTGTATTCCGTTCCGACACTTTAGGATAACATGAATGGGGGGTCTTTCTGATTAGTGAATCCCAGCAGTTACGTCGGATGCCGTTCATATCTCTATAACACTGTCCGTGACGGTACGACTTCCTGTTCTCGCAGATGATTATGACGATGAATATGACATTGGATAGACTGACGTAGATCGTAATATATTTTACACCTTCCCTTCTGTTGGTAGGTGATGTAATAGTCACGAGATTTCCCCGCTTTATCAGTTCTCGTTGTTTAAAAGCCTTTTTGTACACTTAGTCTTTCTGTTTGGTATGCCATATTGAATCTGGAGTCTGATTCGCTGGATGTAAAATTGCATTTGCTTTGTACATCGATTGGTCGGCAAGATACTACTGCATTGTGTGCTGCACGTTTTCATCCTCCTAGCTCGCAACATCCATCGGTGTGATATTTCATAGCTGGGCAAATAGGAAAGCTTTAACTGTACACTATGAAAGCTCCTGGGATTGGATCTGTCTTCCGAAATCGCAAAGTAAGCAGTTGCTAAGCGTGAATTGGGATGCATCCAACACTGCATCACTTTGGAGGATCTCAAAAATTCATTGTTTTAGTGACTAGCGAGGTTAAATTTGCAACTTCAAACATTACAGGTATTGTAGTGTTACTTCCGCCGGTTTGCTAATTCCTAACAAGTCAAGTGTCACATTGCCCCGTGCCTCGTTATCCTGCCCATTATTTCTTCTAAGTCATTGCAATGCACATCGTCATCGGTTTGTTTGCACTTTTGAGTGTTTGGTGATCCGCTATGTTTATGCTGACGTGCTAACATTTACCCTTATCTCATTGTGATGCAGGTTTTGCCCAGTTGCTTTTGGTGTTCGGTGCGATTAGTGCTGGATCTTTTCGTGGCTAACAACCTAGTAGCGCTTTAGGACACCAAAATATCAAACTCGTTTGTTCCAAATAGGATTATCAGAACAAATAGGCTGTGAAATGACACTGTCATTTTGTGCTTTCCCTTCGGTCACACACATGAAAACAACTAAGGAACCAAAATAAGGAGATATGAACTCGTTTGGTGGCATTATTATTGACGCGTCACTCGCTACCACGATAGCCTTAATGTCACTAACAGCCGCTTTTGAATACAGTGTGGTGGGCGCTGTCGATCGATAAAAGGGTCTCATGAAAGTCTGAGGCCAGTTGGAACATCTGTCCCGCGAATGTATGGACTGCCAAAAGTTCACAAAGTAGGTGTACCTCTACGCCCAATATTGTCCATGACAAACTCCGCATCTCATCCAACAGCCCAGTAGTTGGCAGAATTACTGGAGCCAATAAGAAAACGAATTGCCAAACGTAGTGTTCGGGATAGTTTTACATTCGTAGAGCACATTAGCGATGGGAACCTGAAGGAAAAGAAGATGTTCTCACTTAATGTAGCTTCTTTATTCACGAATGTCCCGCTACTAGTGACAATAGAATATCTATGCAACTATGTGCATGATAACAGCATTCATTTAGCTATACCCTTACCAAGCCTGAAAGAATTACTTCTGAGATGCACCTACAACATTCAGTTTCTTTTCGACGGCATATATTATCGGCAGAATGATGAGGTCGCAATGGGGTCCCCACTCGGACCAGTGCTGGCAGATATTTTTCTTGCCAAACTAGAAACTGAATCACTGGGGCCACTTATAGATTGTTTCGACCATTATTATCGTTATATGGATGACATTTTCTGCATAACCCAGAAAGATATCTCGCTGGAGGATGTATTGGCAGAGTTTAATGGTGCGCACCCGGCGATCAAGTTCACCTACGAACTTGAACAAGATGGCCAACTCTCATTTCTGGATGTACACCTTAGTAGACGAACTGACGGTTCCAAATTAAGGAAGACAAAAAGAAAGAAGATGTGGACAAGTCAGTATACAAATTTCAATAGTTTTGTACCGCTTAAATACAAGCGTAACTTAGTACGTTATCTCACCTCAAGGGCGAGAAAGATATGTTCAGAGGACGCTTTGGAGGATGAAATGAAATTCATCCAGAACACTTTGCGTGAAAATGGTTATCCAGAAAGATGCATTCAGCGCAACATGCAGCCCAAAATAACACCGCTTGGTAAGGACGTAGTCGCTCAAAAGGCCCTCTTCATTCACCTTGATTTTAAAGGTGATACAATTAGTGAGCTCTTAACAAGGAAACTGACGCAATCGATAAAGAACACCTTTCCGGCTGCGGAGTTACGATGCAACTTCGCCACAAATCAGCTAATTCCTGTGTGCAACAAGGACAGACTGCCGAAGCGGACCTCTTCTTACGTTATCTACTTGTGGAGAAACATACGTTGGTCGGAAGGCTCGTCAACTGTCACGTCGCATTAAGGAACATAGCCCTAAATGGTTGTTGAACAGGGGCACCGGAGTACTTACAAGCGGTATCTTGTCTCATCTTTTCGAATCTGGTCACCAGGTTAACCTCACGAAAGCTTTCACTGTGATTTATCAGGTTCCAATGAGCAAATCGAAAGGTACGCGGTTAAGGATGCTCGACACTACAGAGGTCATTGCGATCCGCGTATTTCAACCCCCGCTCTGCTTGCAGAAAAAGTTTGTTCAATCTCTATACCTGCCGTGGCCGAACAACCATCAGCCTAGCTGTCACCCCGACATCGGGTCAGGCTTTGTTATTACGTAACCCTCAATCGATCTGTATGCATGAGACAGCGGCGAACTATTCTCTGTCTAACCATTGACCGAGTCAGTTCAGAACAAACCCCCGAACCAATCACTATCCATCCCTTTGTAATTTAACCTTATATGATTGTTCCGGCCTGTAGATGAATCATTGAAAACAATTGTTTGCCTCAGACTGATGTTCTTGAGGTCTCATGAAGCTTGGGAATATTAAAACTTTGACCGCGCGTAGGGACTGTGAATGGCCCATTCGGATTTACCTGCCGACCAGTGTCTACAAACTGCTTCTAAATTGCTTATACGACCTTGATACCTGATGCAGCGGTCGCAACATCCATTCGATACAGCGCCACTTTGGAATTTGTTCACTGATTGGGACATCTGGATTTCGGTCAGTGCACTCCATATATCTATCTACACGGCTACATCTGGTTGTCGTATATTGACAGCCTCTCACTAAATACCATTTGGCTAAGCGAAATTCTTAATTAGACCATACAGTTTGAAAATAAAATGACAGCTTTTATGCCACAATTGGAATGTACTCGTTTGGTACCCGATGAAGAAACATGGGATGGAAGATGACTGGCAGCTTTTCCGTTATTTAGAATGAATTAGCGCAAAATTTTGGTATGTATTATGGTCCACATCATTGCTAACACAATTCAAACACTTTATTGAAATATTTGCAAAAACTACTGGTTTACCCTGCGTTTGTTGGGCCAAGTCTAGTGGTAACAACTTACGAGCAGGCAACGCACTAGTTGTAAGATTGATTGGAGTTCGATATAAGCAATATAAATAATCGATAAGGACACCATGCAACGTTACCGACATATCGAGTCATCCTAACTAGCAGAGAAAACTATCTCAGGAAAGTATCTTCATCTGAATTTTGCATTTTAGAATTCTAAACTACACTAACTGTTTTCAGAAACTCTTTGCAAGTTCCGCTGGATTTCGTTCTGTTGATTTTGTAATATACGTCCAAATCTGTAAAATAACAAAAACGGATATTTGAAAATTCGGAGTTTGATGTTGACAGTATTTTAGGGAGATGAAAAGCAAGAGGATAGCCGTACATTACCTCATTTTACTAAAACCTGCTTAATGGTGACAAATTCTAAATGTGCATAAATATAAAAGCATAATTATCGGCATAATCAGACCGCAAAGGAATTATTACACAGGGTGTTCATAATGCACGTGCGGAGAAGTAATATGCAACCGAATTTTACCGCGCGTCAACTACAAATAAGACTGTTAATTTTTGGTCCCAGAAAGGATTTCCAATTTTTAAACCTTACTGTCGGAAGCTCTTTTATCCTACTGAGGACATGTTTTAATGGATCCAGCTACTAATCCAGCAGTCCAACATTATTCGATTTTACCTGCATAATGTTATATGTATAACAGGTCGTAAAGCGTCGTTACATGAATTCAACAGATAGAAATTCTTCCAGGTACGTTTAGTAAGCTTCGTTTTTTCCGCTTCCCTTTGCCATCCGTTTCATTCTGTTAGCACTGTTGGGGCATTCAAGGCTACCACTTATTTAAGCCACTCATTTACTTTAGACTCGAAACCCATGCTCAACTTTTACCACGGCGCTATTCAAGTACATCTTCCATAAAGCTCCTAGTCCTACTAAATACAGTGATAAAGCTATCGAACCGCCTACCAAGTGCTTGTTTTGCAGGTTAATCTACATTTGATCTATTACGAACCACTATGCACTTGACAAGGAAATGTTTATACTCCTTTGCCGCATGTATAGGGAAAAATAGTAATAATAATAAGTTTGTTGATCTTGATGAGAACAACTATGTCCATAGCGGCACAGACCAATTTGTGCCGGAGAATCAATGCTCTGGTATGGGTGTCATGTATAGGTGGAGTATTGGGATATGCGTTTCATGTATTAGCTTTCTGACGGATGGTTGAGGCCAAAGACTAATTATGAAAACATTGGTGTTTTTACGCTTTTGGGATCATGTTGGAATGGCTCATCGAGGAATCAGTTAAAGGTGAATATAGAGCATAGGATAGTTAGATCAAGTTAATTGGCGAGTCTGTTACTAAATGTTGTCTCCTTGTCACATGACCTGCCCGTTTTTGGTAGTTAATTCCGCAGATAGCTATATCTGACCAGAAAGAAATTATAGCGGACGTTCCTTCGAGCCTTCGGTATATTCAGTGTAAATGTTACAAAGCGCTCGAGTTGAGCAATGTTGTACCTTGAGTGTGGGCAGATTGGAATGGGTCTATTTGTGTAACATGTTGAAAACCAGCAACAACTTGTGCTTCAATCGTCGAATCCAAATTGGTTTGATAAAAAGTTCAGTGCCATGTTCTTGATAACGCATAGCAGATGGTTTACCAATCAGATGTTTAGTAAATGACCTCTGCAGGTTCTCTACGGTAATTCTGTCACTCTTTCTCATATTTCCGTATATTATGCTGCAGTGTTCCAGAAGGGAGCGAGTGAGAAGCTTGAAAAGCTCAACTCTAGCACGAGTTGTGTGTATTTTGTTCGATATATTGTACATAGACTGTCTGGCACACGCTACTTGGTATTGGGCCTGTTCGGAGAAATTGCGCGACGCTATCCAAGTATTCTTCTGCATAATTGTTTTGACCAATAGAGTGATAACAGATGAAGTGTTATGCATACACATGTGGTTGTGGTGGTTTACAGTTACTTTTTTCGTATAATGCATATTATGCAATAGCATGTGGCAACTAGAGGTGGCGAACTTCAAAACGGTGTTAACTTACATGCTCCGGGGTACTCGACACCTTAAAAATGATAAACCACTCTGATGTGAACATGATGATTGAAATGAACAAAATATTTTTATAAGGCATTGATACCTTTTGGTTTAACATTTTGTTCTGTAACCGTCGCACCTCACAACCAGAAAAAGAACCAGACTACTACATATGCATGAGTAATATTTGCACATGTGCAAACAGCATAAGTGAAAGGTGATTCAGTGGGATAGGATATTAGTACCGCTTCATCGGTAACGAAGTAGTTCCGTTCTCGAGGCTGAAGCCTGAGTAAATGATTGTCCATGCATGAATGAGAAACGGGTAGCTCTGGCATAGTCACAAAAATAGTAACACGGTCCACTCTTAATGATCTATTGTGATCAAAGCAGTCTTAAAAATACAGCATTTCTTTTTAGACTGCGGTCTTACAGCAAATAAGTAGTCAGGAACAATGCAGAATACAGTTTCCCACAGGGTTATCTGCACTGCTGCCATGCGGTTAGTAGAACTGGTAGGAAATCTCTTTGAGATGTTTTAATGTGATACACGTCCCTACGATGTGCCAAGCACGGGATAATTATTAAATTCACCAAAAGTAGTAGACGTGCGGAACCAGAAATTTATCGCGTGATAACAGTACTTCCTGTTATATCCAAGTTTACGGAGTCCATTGTACAATGAACAATGATTTATGCCAGGTAAGAAAGCAGTTGCTTGAGCAATTCCGCAGAATGGTGGGAGTACAACTAAAGTGCCGAAAGTTAGGTGAGTTGTATTTTGGGCGTTTATTTAGCAGATACGCTGCTAAATAATAGTATATAGTATAGTATAGTATAGTAGTATAGTAGTATATTTTTGGATTGGATGTAAAACGACGACGTAAAATGGGGCTATGTATGGCTATTATACACCGCGAGAAAATTAAGAAGGTACAAAGGGAATAGTTAATTCTATCCCACATCCTCAGATTTATGTAAAATGTTAATCGGGTTTGGAAGGATAATTTATATATTCCAAGTTTGCATAATTTATGCAACGAAGTGATGGGAGCCAAGGACGACATCCAACCCTGTTTTGAATATAGCCAAAGTCGGGGAGCAAACAAGGAAGTTTGTGAGAGAGTTCCAGGGTTGGCAAACCCGAAAAGAAAAACAAGAATGCCGGCATTCCAAGCAGGTAACCGGTGCACACAATTTCAGATGGTTACCTCTGAGATTGTGGTTATGGCTGCCTTTCTGCATGTGATGGCATACGTGATTAGGATTACTCAGTATTTGGTAGATTAATACGCGATCACCGCGCAGCCTTCCATAGCGGCCACTGAAAACCCAGTCACTTCAACCTTTGATGGTAGGACAGATTTCGTAGGCCCTTGATGGCTTAGTGGCCCTGCGTTTTGGTTGCTCTACCACTTCTACGTCACGCTTCGACCAAAGTCGCAAAGCTTGGATGGCGTATTTAACGCGCGGGCGAAAGTAAGAATTGTGCGGCATGGGGAAGATGGATGAGCCGAATCTTCCGAATTCTCTCCGCAGCAAGCCGACGTGTTGGTTGGCTCTCTTTGCAGGTGCCTCTGAGTGCATTCAACGTTGAAGGTCAATTTGAATGACCCCACTAAGTTCGCATTTACATGAAGGTGATTGCAATATATGTGACCCAAGCCTATACACGTATATATGCCTATGACGCAATTGAACAGTGTGGCATTGTTTCACATTAAACGATTGTGTATGCAGAACTGACCAGTTCGAAATCGTGTTGTGGTCCCGCTGGAGCTTTTCGTGGTTGTTAAGTTCTTTGATCGCTCGCAAGTCTTTGATTGCTTACCTGGATAGTAACAACACTCTGATTCCGAAACAGTAGGGATTTCGCCAAAATCAGTCCTGTACTACTGCCTATTCCTCGCCATTAAATGTTTGACGGAATCAGTGGTTGCAGATGTAGGAGTCGATGCGTCCTACCTGGATGTTTTAAAAGCATTCCACCTTCTAAACCCTCGTATTGTACTGCACAAACTGCAGAAATATGGAATTGGGGATCCCGTGCTGGACTGGATAGCTGAGTTTCGCGTTCAACCTCACCTGAGTGTGTTGGGTTTCGCAGCACCCTAGCAACCAATGGAAGTTCAGTGCAGTGTACCTCAGGGCTGGGTACTCTGGGCGTACCTGTTTCTGGTTTTCTTAACTGATCTTGCCGATGTACTGTCTTCGAACTCACTAGTATTTGTAGATGATATCAATACATGACGTGTTGTCAGCAGGGTGGAGGACCACCTAGCCTTAGCGGATGATCTGGACAAAGCATACACATATTCCATCAAAAACCTGCTGCATTAAAACACCACCAATTGCAAAGGTCTCAGCATACGGCGTCAGAATACTCACACCCACCGCCTAGGACCACTTATGCTACAGCGGGCTTATCATGAGTGTGATCTCGGTGTGCTTTTGCAGGAGGACATTTGTTGTTTAAGGCAGACTATAAAGACATCAAATAAATCACACCAGCACTTCGGCCTTCTTCCTAGTGTTCGGGAAGATTTATACCTGTCTTTCCGAAAATGCCTTGCACGTACGTGAGGCTGCATGCGGCATATGCCGTCCAAGCCTGGTAACTCTAACTGAAGCACCATCTCACCGCACTCGATACTGCACAACGCAGGCCAGCAACGAACGACCTAGGTTTGTCCGGTTTTCGCAAACCATGAGACAGACTTTATCTGCGTCTAAGCAGCGATCACATAATGGTGTATCAGATTCTGAGAAACCCCAACCATAAATATCATACTTTTTTGAAAGTTAGTCAAACTACATCGCGAAAGGGTCATCAGTTTAACTTGGTCACGCAGTACAGCTGACTGGAATGTCAGCGCAGCTTTTCCTCGCCCTGAATGTCACAGTAAAGGAACGCTCTTCTGGCGCAGGTATAAATGCCACCAAGTTATCCTTTTTCAAAAGCGCCATGACGATACTCTGACCCATTTACATTGTGTGTTACAGCCTGTGACCATTAGATGGTGGAAGTAATGCACAACAGACAGTGGACGGTGTCGTAACCGTCATAAACTGCAGGCATAAATACTCACACAGGAGTTAATTCAAACCCCTTGGTCAGTCTTGTAATTCAAGCGTCCTATCACTGACACCATTTTAGTTTGTAATTATGAACCTAACTATCCTACGAGATCTGTCAAGCATTTGCCTATATACCCGTCATAAACCATTGCTCCATTGTATTTGTCCAAAAATGTCTCATTTATGAAGCAGCTTGACTAACCGTAAAACTTATTGAAAACCTGACTGTGAATAGTTTCGACTGATCTAGGCGATGCAAACCTAGTGCCAGTAAATTGGGTGCTCCGAAATGCTGAGCTGATGTGTGTAAACAAAAACGGAGATAAAGCTAACAGATTTCCAGCAGTTTTTGGGACGCTGTGGCATTTACCGTGACATATATAATGTATTTAACAATTCAGATAACTATGCATTTTCCGTGCGGCTATAGCAAGTACACTGTTTTGATAACATGGTAATCCGTATGTCCGAGGTTCGATTCCCGGTCGAGACAGATTATCGTGTAATGTTTACTCGAGGCTCCTATTTTCTACAAAACTTACACTAATCACAAAAACCCACCAATAAGCTACGTTTACCAACGCCCTTTGAATATAAGGAGGACAGATACTTCAGTTCATCGAGAAGTGACAAGTGAGTAATCCAACCTGCAACATCAGGACAAATACTGTGAGCTTATTAGCAATACGTCGCGAACAAAGTAGATGCCATGTACTAGATTGCGCACCCGATCGTCAGTCCTCCGTAGCTCAGTTGGTAGAGCAGCTGTCCGGTAATCCGTAGGTTCTGGTTTCGATTCCCGGTCGAGTCAGATTGTTGTGCAACGTTTGATGTTGGACTATGTCTTCTACAAAACCTATACTACTCACAAAAACCATCAATAAGATGGTGTATTGATAATAATGAATTTCACAGGTGCGCCGCAGTTTCCTTTACCAGGGGCAGTTCATCGGGTAGTTATGAGCATTCTTGAAAGCGGTAGGTTTTACGGAACATTATAGGAGCCAGGTGTAATATATAGTGATCAGCTAGAAAGATCACTAAAAATGTGTACCCCACAGCGCAAACAATAAAGCTGTGTCATCACGTGACTAACGAGTACAAGGACGGATAAAGAAGAGAATAGTGAACTATTATTTGAACTTTTGTTTGTATAATTAGTCAACATTTCGAAGCAAAACTGTCAGTACATGGTCATCGGATTGTTGGATACACCGTTTATCCTCGTAGAATAAGTGAAATCTCCGAAGATAATCCCCAAACTTTCATCCGAACAAAGGCATGATCAGAATAAGTGTTTAACATGCATAAACGCACTGTACCATACAAATGCGCTGATTCTTTTCTTGACATTAGAACAGGGGTTGTACCATTAAACCTCCAATGCGGAAGTGGGTAGTAGTTATAAGTGATTTCATTACGCTGCACAGGCCTACTTCAAACTGTGGTTAAAACTATTTTCACTACAATGATCCTTGTATATAGATATGAAATTGTGCTCCTATAGCGCATTGATCGTGCGCTGTATATCCGGTACGCGACTAGACGACCAACCAAAAGCAATGAATAGAAAACACAAGAGTAAGCTAGGAAAGAAGTTTATTGGACGGAACGAGCGTTAGCTAAAGCTAAAAATAGGGCACCCGGAGAGAGCTAGCTAGAGAGAATGTCGTTGGCGTCGAGTGCGTTGACAGAGAGCCGTTCGCAGTCAAGTCGCGCGCCAAAGACGGAGATCGCTTACGTGTTTCCAACAAACGGGAACAACGTTCCAACAGGCGAAGCGAATAGTTTCCTAATACATAAGAAAGCTATAATTTGAATATTTTAGAATAGTTTACACAGTCATACGGCGGACTCTCCAGGTAGTTACACTCCGTCAATACTGTACAGAACTGTGTTGGAGAGATATGCCGCAGCGTTTTCGCAATATGTCATCATTACAGAAAATGAGACGGTTAATCTTGCAGCATATAATCGGTCAGCATGAGTGACAGCCGACAATTTTGGCGGTCAGCAGATGCAATGCTTATGCAATTGTTGTGAAGATATCTAATGTTGAGTTTTGAGCAATTATATTGTGTACAGCTGTAGCAGCAAGCTTCGGTCTGCTTACACCTTTGTATTGTTGGACAAATCGTGTATTCTGAACTGTTAATGTCGCGGTAGTTCATAGGGGCTGCACTATATACAGATACAATTTTAAATATTTGTTCACGGTAAGGCGGTTTGTCAGTAATCGACCTCTTCTCTTTCTAGCGGCAATTAGCCTGGTTTAAGTTTGGTAATTTAAGTAAAATTGCTCCGGGCAATCAGTTCTTTCGCCTAATAGACGCCTGATGGGACATGATTTTGCAATGGAATTGAAAAGGACAAATCAGAGTCTTGTTCGATGAAACAATACTTCCTTGCTCAATCTTCATTTATAATCTGATATTACCTAGCTCGTGATGAAACATTTTTATGATAAATCGCAAAACAATCACTAGTTTGAGTAAACAGTTGTAAGCAAAAAGCTGTAAGCTTTAATATATGGAAGGTATATCATATGAAAATCAACCTGGTGTTTACAGACCAATGGTAGCGTTATAAGTAGGGCAATTAAACAATGGACAATTATTCGGGTTAAGAAACACTGCCTTATAAATCCCGTCGGGTTGATTGGTGGTGTCACTGAAAAAACTGAAGGCGCTTATTACTGTAAGTACGAAAAGAAGGTTTTATCCTTGGTTCCTCTGCAGTTCTGCAATCCGTCTGGTTTCACAGGAAAGAAAATCAGCAGCGAATACCTCCAAGGTATTTTCTAAGAATGAAACGGTGATAAAGTGTTAGGTGACAAAGTGTTAGTGGATGAGTACGTCACGCAACCGTCTTTTAAGGGTTGTTAGTTTTGGTGCAGAGAGCATTCCGCGGTTGGTATTTAGGAATAGAAAACAAATTTCTACAGCACTTTAGACAGCTATACTGTCCTGCAAGTTTCCTTGTGTGATCTCTCAGGTTCAATTTACTGCTGAGTGGCAGTAATCAGCGACCTCCACGATGTGGGTCCTACAGGATCGCCTCATGTGTTGGAATATCGTCTATTGAATACCCATGATCGCTTCAGCCTCTGCTGGTATGAGGGATTGTGCACTTCAGTGGCTTATCTGGATAACCGACAATTTGGCTGCTCCAGTAAATCATCAGGGTCCTATTTCAGCCATGAACTCCAAGCTTGAATAGCGCTTTCGACATTGAAATGAAAAATAGCAATGAGCACCTGTCGAAAAGTAGTATTGTCTCTTTGTCCGGACACCCGTCTCTATAACACGACCTGTTGGTTTACAGTTTTCGAAGCATTTGCTGATGACCTGGAGTAACCCAAGTCATCTTGAAACAGCACACTAAGACCACGTTTGATAGACGGATTGCAGTACATACATTCCGATCCTGTACGAGTAGTTGATCTGATGTCGTATGGAGAATACCTTGTATTTTCTCATGTTAAAATGCACTAAATTTCGGGTTGACCACTGATGTACCGTGTCTAGGTCACTCTGGGGCATATGCTGGTCGTCATCTATCTAAATCCAATTCCAAATCAAGATGTTTTCGGTAAAAAGTAAGAACGTTGTTACGATTGCTTGTGTGAAGTCATTAATAATCCCCAACAACAATCGGGGTCCAGGAATTGAGCATCGCAGCACACCATACTTGACTTGTATCGTATCGGATAAAGAGCGCGGAACCCTGACCACTAATTGCCATTGAAGCAGAAGGTTAGCGACCTAGCTTACAAGAGGGTCACCGATCCCGCGGTACTGGAGCGTGGGAAGAAATATCCGATGCTTTATACGATGGAATTCCTTCGAGAATTTCAAGTAGATCACCTAAACCTCATCTCCAGTGTCATCTGAATCGGTTCAACTATTGTTTGCAGATAGTAAGTTCGTTGTGCACGATCACTTCCCATAAAATCCGTGCAGCTGGGAAGCAACAAGTTTGCATTTTCCAAATTTCACCACAGCGTATCGGCATGGATAGATTATATAAACTTGTAGGGCGCAGAAAGAAATGATACCAGGCGGTAGTTGCAGGGCCTAGTTCGGTTTCCGCCTTAGTGAAACGGGGTTATCATCCTAAGATCCGCCTTGCAGGAACCTGGTTCTGGTCCAAGCAGCGCTGGATGAGGCGACCCTCTGAAACGAAGGTGCCTATTGTATCCGTAGTGCATTTTCTGCTTCCATAGCCGTTCTTTTTGGGTCATCAGCCGTCCTAAATGGCGGAAATTCTTATTTCACCTATCGTACACCATTGATATGCTTGTAAGGGAGTTTGTGGTTAGCGATATAGGTTTTTCTATGTTCTGCTAATATGGGACATTAATTGTGGGCAGTTGAGTGTAGTGGTTACGTAGGACTACGTAGTTCTCCCAAGTTTCTGGCGTTAGAGCTACTGTATACGCCTTCAACGAAGTGTTGCATACTGCCATCCATATTCTAGCCTTGTTGCTGACGTAAGTGACTGTTATATACCCACCTAAAACTCTTGTCACCGAACTAGATGTAATCAGTTGACTGCAGTTGTTGACGAACTCTAGCCAGGCGATTTCCGGAGTTCTTCGGCAAGGAATAACCAGGTCGTGGCGATGACGAACTGGGATAATCGTTTGATGGTTCACACTGTCTCATAGTTCGCATTTCTTTACTTTGCGTAGCAGACAAAGTTGAAACCAATGACTGCATGTTCACTGTAACTCAATGAAGAGTCTACAATTATACCATCAATCATCTACTCTTAGTTGATAATCACAATATACTGCTGGTCTGCTCTGAACCGAATGGTCAAATTGACGTGATTATAATCAGGAACAATGTTACTAGCTCCCGCAGCTCCTATTTGGATTGTTCCACCATGGTTGCTAGTAATTTCTAAGCAATGCAGGTTGAACTCACTACTGATAAGGATGTGAGCGCATCATAATACAGCCACAATTTGGCAGTCTGTTTCGGGTGTAGAGTTATAGGGCAGTAAACCACAGTGACAATTCAACTGTCTCTGCCAAATAAATGTATGAGGCCCTAAAGAGAATCGTGGAACTGGAAGCCTAAGTCGTCCATTGATTCGTAATGTAGGTCACTTTGGTAATACAGAGGACTCCTCCTTAATTACTAAGTCAATCGTTCTAGATGAGCAACAAGCCCGGTGGAGAAAATTCAGCGTCCGTCATTCCAATGTGTAACCACGTTTCAGTGATTCTAACGCTATTATAGGACCAGGAAACTTGGCGAACATTCAGTTTGGTCTGCTCATTGGAAAGTCTCTAGGCAGCCGTATAGTGGCAGACTAATTTCACTGTCTCTCGAAAACCATATTAGGTTAAATGGGTGCAGTGTGGGAGAATGCCGACAGATGTGATTTCCACTGTTACCCGTCTTCTGATGGGAGGCTAATATTTTGTCTGTAATACTATTTGGCCAAGGTACGTCTCATGGTCTGGAACCGTTTCGGTTTCGTATTTGTTTACTTTCTGTCATTCACCGTCGTGCAGTTAGCTGTGACCCACCAAGTTGGTTAATCTTTACCGGCTTTGATAGCGGCGCACATCGGTTAGAGGAATTTCGTGGTTAAAATGGTTGGTTGCATTTTGCAATGGATCATTCCGAGGAAATTCGCATTGACGAACGTCATGGATTTAGCATACTATATCGTTTTTATCCACGTCTGTGGGAATTTCGCTTAATCCGTTTACTTCCATAGTTCCTTTCTATTATATATCTGAACTACATGTCAGCGCTTACAACTTAATTAAAGGGCTTTGCTCAGAAGCCGCTGAACAGCACAATAGGATACCAAATGTCTTAACGCTGGACCCTGTGTGCGTCTTTATTTTGTGTAATTAGAAACACGTATCATACAATAGATTACTTAAAAGCCCTTCATGAGTTAAAGCTAAATAAAGAGTTCGTAATGCATTTGCATGTAATTCTGCATAAAACAATTTTGTGTAGGTCATTTACGTAAGTTGATCAAATCGCTAAAACAGTAATTTTGAACAGGGATTCCGTGAGGTTTTTGACGTCGTGTCAATCAAAGAGATCAGAAGGTCCAACCGATATGTATAGTTTATCTAAGGTTGCAATTGTTCATTTAGTGATTTGTTTAAGAGAGCAACGACAATCTGTATTAGTGACTAGCCGTTTATATCCTTTAAGTTGCCACAGTTTTCATTGCAGAAAGAGTCTAGCTTTTTGATCTACTCATTGTCTACAACAAAACTAGTGTCTTTCTGAGTTTAAAATGACAGACACAGCAAGCTTCCAAATACGTATTTATGTACATATCATTAAACAGCAATAAAATTCTACAGGGAATACAGCAACAACAGCTACGTTACCTTTCAAACTGGGCCATTGAATTGCGGTAAATTCCACTTGGCTCAAGAACGGCAACTGTACAAGGTACTCCAATTTGTTTAGCGCCTCCATTTGCAAATCCGGGAATCCCCACGGTGCTTCAATGCTTTCCCGGATTTCAATTGAGGTGACATTCTTGTTCTCCTTTTCTAACATGTTAACACGTATTCCGAAGTCCGGGAGCAGTCGTTTTACCTAATGAAACGAGCAAACTTGCTGCTAATTACTGGGTAGTTAACTATTATTAGTATGCAAAGAATAGCAAATACGAACTGGATTAATATTATGGCAATTTCCGTAGTACAGTTTATTCAGTACAGCGCGCTTAACTTCTAACCGCTATATCATGTACTGCTCGCACAGCTTATTGGCCTAGATATCATGACCAAAACTGTCAACTAAAATGCGACAAGTGCTACTTTTGATTGGCGCACTCAGAGTTTGTAAAGTTGTAGAACTCAGTAGTTCTGCAATACCCAAGCAGTAATAAGCAATTTTGTTATTATTTTAGAATAACAAAAGCAAATGAGAAATAGAATGTGCCAAGCAATTTTCAGAGAGCGAACATATCCTTCAAGTTAACCATTACATCTTTTCAAGCGCCAGTGCTTGATGACTGGATAAAGTCATCAAGCGCAAAGTAGAAAATGATTTTTTCTCCGGATTTGTAATTCGTAATACATTCATTGGTAAATGATGAATTAACAGACTTAGTCTTTGAAATACTGATTACCTCTTTTTGCACATAATCTTCACTCTTTTCCATTGTAGACGAGGTATACATGAATCCTGAAATAGAAGTTTAAATTGCATAAGACTGACATGTCAAACTATGAAACATTAGAAGTAAACTTTACCACTCTATCGGTATTTGCAGCACAATTCTCCTCATTAGGTGACCAAATGTATAGTCAGTGTTCATGCATCATATGCAAATGTAGAATTATGCTAAGTACCCGTATTATACATTCCAAGTTTATGTATAAGAATAGTGTACGCGAAACCAATAAGCAACGCAACCAACAAATACCTTTGCTCTTCTGATACAGTATCATCAACAATAAGGGCGTGTAAAGCGCAAGCCTTAAGTTAGTGCTATTTTTCACACCGACTTGTTGGTACAACAAGCCCTTACTCTGCGGGACCGTCTAATTGCTCTTACCGACAAAACATAGATCGTAATAAAGTACAAAGTCATAATGGAGGCGCTGGTGTTTTCATAACAATTTGATAACCATGCCATATTTCGTCATGACCAAGTTTTACAATTTCAATTTCCTGTTAGCTTGCCTATAGATGTGATACACAACTCAAATCAGGATTGATTGCCAGTACTTGACTCATTATTCATTTGCCTTCACAGATTAAGTATGTTCCAATAATGACAGGAAGCCTCCTACTCTGATGCGCAAGTGAGTTTTGACGTGGCAACAGATGGGTATGTTGTAAGTCACAAGTAAACAAGACCTTGGCAACACCAGTGCATGATAGACAATTGGTCATTCAGGGTATGAGACTGGCCGTCATTGATCAAGCAGTTAAGCGAACAAGCCACTTCACTGCAGCTGTCTCTCATCCTTGCACTCCAAGACCGACGGTTCCGTCCTGGTTTGAACTCATCAGCTAGAGATAGAGGCGTTGAGAGCGGAACTCGGTGCATTTTGCTAGGCGGCTATATCCACGATCACTGAAACATTGAGCTCCGCGAGAAGTGTTTGATGCAGCGGTTAGAATTTACTTTTTGGGTTTTAGAGCATTATTCGCGGAATTTAATGGTTTGATGAGCACGACGATAGTCGGCAAGCGTCATGCGCCGAGTTACACTCCCCGCTCGGCTATCTCTACCTGAGAATTCTAAAGCAGGACCAAACCGTCGGCCATGGAGTACAAGGATGGGAGAGAGCCACACCGAAACCCTCCACTTCGGTGATGGCTCCAGTGATGGTTTTGGCAAATGCTGACTTCAAATTCAAGGGAGGCCACAACTGTAATTGCATGCAGCAATCCAAGGCACACTGCGGGAGCTCTAAAACCCAGAAAACAAACCAGGGTATTCTCTAGCTGTTTGTGGGTAGTAATTTAAAATGTATTGTAAAGCAGGAATACCGTTGCCTAAAATACATATTTTAACGCTAGTTTTGTCACGGTAGACCTGTGCTTCTAATTTATACTTTAAAATATCGGTAGCTTGATAATTGTGGCATATTAGCCTTAACTGATCTTTCGAGATATGGGTGAGCATTTGTTGCTCTATTCTACTACTTTCTTCGCGTAAGTGACCGGGTTGTGTACGCTGAATTAACGGTTTGAGGGCTCTCTGTAACTGACGTTTTTGCTCTATGCTGCCCCAATGACACAAACTATTGTAGTTGAACAGTCTCAAATCGTCCTCCATCAGACACACTAAATTATGACCTGATCCTAACCCGCAAACTTTGCTTGCTTGGAACTTTTTCGGATTCCCATTTCTACCAGTCAACGTGGTGTTTTTACCCGTGGGTTGGTTGCGTTCTGTGATTTTCCAGCTTTTAGAGTGGAACACATCTGTCAAGCGCGCGTAGTGGTTGCAAGGTCAAATGAGCGGTCGGCGTGGTGGCGCCGTCCGTGTGATAGGTTATGCAGGCGCACTGGCCGACAAGATCATGATAAATGGAGGGTGACTGGAACCTGCCAACTAAATCGGAACACCGCGCTAAACACAGCGAGAGTGATAAATTTTTTCACAGCTGTGTTGGAATACCTTGGATTTGAATAAACTTAGACTTTTCGGACTGCCTAGTAAACTTTTTATCGTATGGTGTCACACAGAGAGGCGGTCTGCTCAGTTGCATTTAGTTATCTGTTTGCGCTTACGCACGGATGCTAGTGGAAACGGTTAGTGATGGCACGGACTTTGATCGTAAAATACTGCCACCTATGTGAGATCACTTGGTAGGGCTGGTATATCCGGTTCCAATAAGCGGGAGCATGGAGAGTGCATAGAGAGGAATAATGCAGAATATATGATACCATCCACCGCATCTAGGCATACAGCCTAACCGCGAAACGTATAATTCGGGAAAATTTCTTATAAACTGTTTACTGCTGCCGGCGTTTTTGTTTAGCCGACGTAGGTATATGTAGAAAGTTCCGTTGGTTACGCCTTTGTCGATAAAGTTAACTACAGTCTCCTCAAAGTAAGACAGTTTTCGAACATCTGCATCATTTGGCTTAGTTTTATTATTTCTCAAAGCTTGATTCCCATGAATGAATCGAACTGTTTCTTATAAGATAAAGTAGGTGATATTTAAACTCATTAGGACGCACACTGTACGCGACACCATTGATGACATCCCATCCCTTATCCTCATTTGCTTGCTTGCGTCAAATTAATCAAATTTCCCATTGATTCTTTGGTCTTCTTAGGCAATGTAAGCGTAAGTGGGTTATTCTCAATGTGCTACATTCATGCGTGGACATACCCATATCTAATCTTCAGAGCCCAATAATATCCCAGAAGTCTAGTCCGTCAACTGTGGTTCTTACACACATGTAACCAAGGAGTATTTATCATATTGTATATGTCTTTAACCTCGCCATTCCAGATGCCTAGGAGGTGGTCGCAACGGGACTGGACCTTAATGTGACGCGGCGGTTTGCTTACCTGTTTAAACTGTTGTGCTATACTTGGCGGTACAATTGGGCTACTTGAAGGATAACCCTACCAAGTTGGTCAATGGTTATAGGTCAGACAGACTCAGCCTCCTGGTTCTACATCTTGGGATTTTAAATTTGATTACGTGCAATTATTTAAAAGCTAAATCAATGGAACAGCTGCACTCTTTTGCGGAAAGTCTTTTCTGCCAAATTCTCGGGCTTAGAGACTTAGGGCTAGGAGGGTTAAAGTTTTGTATTTGTGTTTTCGACAGTGGGACACTAGTCGGAATCCAAATAAGTATTTCAGAATGTGAAGCGTTATCTGAAGCGAAATCATCTAAAAATCGGTGGTTTGGCGGTTTTCCGTGAAAGATATACAAATTTCCCGTGGCACAAACTTGTCAGAATATTAGAACCGCTTATTTGCTCGCGTATTAATAGATTTCGATTGCGAAACATCCCTGTAGCTGTCTAGATCGAAGTGGAAGAAAAGTTCTTCTACCCTCCGACAATGAAACACAACATAACGGGCCTCCAATTAAAGTACTGCTTGTTTGGTAGTCTGAGTAAGTTCATCGTAGCAGAACTTACGGAGATGCTAGACGGTTGGAACTATTCCTGCAACAGTGTAGCCTTACATTAGCTCAATTATTCACAAGCGTGCGCGTGTGTTTAAATATTTCGCTATGGTAAACGATTCCACTTCGATGTCGACAAAAGTGCTGCATTTACAATAAACAGTAAACCAGACTAGTAGCCTTTAGCTAACTCGTAGCTATCTTCGCTCATTGCATTCGGTGTGCAGGTATTAAAGAATGCATTTACAGTTAGTAAACATGAAGCGTTTTCCTGCAACTGCGTTGTCACCCAACTCATGTTACAACTGGACGTTACTATCTTCGACTTTATTCCCTTTTAGAACGCCACAATGTATAGAAAATGGTTAGCCAAAATCAGATCCTATGGTCAATCAATATGAGTTCAGCAGTAGCGTTTCTCTTATTTTCACAGATTACTCCTCATGCTTTCTTCAAAGGAAAGGAAACTTGATTCCGTCCATCCACGGAGCTGTATGTCAGGACGCGATAAATTATTCTGTGCTCATTCAAGACTTGGGACTGGAGAACCATTGGTGCTATATAAGCGATTTTTATTTCCGCCTGACATGGGAAATGTTTTAGAAATCGTATATGAAACAGGTGGAAAAGATTTGATTATGCCGAAACAAGCATGTCACACAAATATGTAGGAGATCAGTGGTTAGTAAACAACAGCTACAGCCCAAAGCTACATCCTCGGACTTCCATTCATCCTGACTTCACCCTATCCACTCTGTATCATGCAGCATAATTTCGTCCGTAGCTACACTATATGTTACTGAAATCTGACTTGTACCGGGCTACGTGATTAGCATCTACTAGCTTGTCGCTTTTTGTATCCTAATAGTTATCAGCCGTCAGTCCACGTGTCAAAACTGCCAAACTGGCACTTTGAAACTGGCAATTTCGAGCATCATTTCA